GTGGCCCGGAGAGAAAAGGGAGCGAGAGTCCGCTCGCTCGAAAGACCCCTGGCCAGAGCCAGAACCAGGACCGGGGGAGCGGCCCGGAGAGAAAACGGAGCGAAGGTCCGATCTCTCGAAAGACCCCTGGCCAGAGCCAGGACCGGGGGAGCGGCCCGGAGAGAAAGAGCAGCGAGGTTCCCATCTCCAGAAAGGCTCGGCGCCTGAGCCAGAGCCAGGACCAAGGGTGCAGCCCGGAGAGAAAGAGCAGCAAGGCTCCCATCTCCAGAAAGGCTCGGCGCCTGAGCCAGAGCAAAGGGCTAGGCCAGGAGAGAAAGAGGAGCGAGGACAGTCCGGACCCGGAGCGTGGCCCAGAGAGAAAGGGGAGCAAGAGTCGGAGCTCCAGAAAGACTCAGGGCAGGGGTCGTAGCTCGGAGGGAGGTGCGGGCGAGGAGCCACACAAGGACAAGAATAAGGCCAGAAGCCGGCTGATGAGCAGGGCCAGGGCGAAGAGAAAGGGGCGTGGCGAGGAGCCCTGTGAGGACGGCGACTGTGAGGGCCGAGCTAAGTCCGCAGAGCGGCGCAGGGGTGCGGAGAACAGGAAGGGCTTGGGCAAGGCAAGAAACAAGAGGAGAGACCTGTTGAAGTGTAGGTTCAGAGCCAGATTAGAGAAGAGGAAGGCCAGGGCAAGGAGAGAGAGAATGAACAGGAAGCGGGGTGAAAAGAGCCGCAGGGATAAAGACGGGACAGAGAGTAAGATCACAGACAGGACAAGGATTATTAGTAGGGGAGCAGCCGAGAGTAAGAGCAGGGTCCGGCTCGAGAGTAAGGGCAGAGTTCGGGTCGAGAATAAGGGCAAGGTCCGGCTCGAGTTTAAGGGCAGAGTTGAAGGCAGGAGTGGGACGGCGCTTGGAAGCCTGACCAAAGGTGGAGCCGGCAAGAGGGACGAGATCCTAGAGGTTTCCTAGAGATCAGCTCCAGCTAGCAGACTTGCAAGTGGGTACTGACCCCCAGGTTCTCCAGGTTCTAGCTCCATGGTGCGCTGGCCAGCCATGCTCCCTGTCAGCCCTGTGTTGCCGAGAAAACCACAGCTATGGGCGTTCTGGGCCCTGCTGCTGGTGGCCCGGCTGTCGCCGACACCGTGGGCGCTGGACCACCACCGCTGCAGCTGGCTGGCGGTCCTGAACAAGTTCGAGAGGGTGGGCTCGCACTTCTCCCAGGACCGCTTTCTGGACCAGGAGCCCATGGACACGGTGGCCAAGGTGTTCGAGAAGTTGTCGGACTCGCCAGTCGACACCCAGGAGGTGAGGGGGCAGGGAAGAGCATCAGAGGAACCTTGGGGCAGGGAAGAGCAAGGGACTCTGAGCCAGAACACCTCATGATCGGTGTTTTGCCCACCTTTTCTTACAGAAATACTTGGGCTTTCCTTACTACCTGCAAATCAACTTCTCCTGTACGGGACAGGTGAGAATTTACACTGTGAATAGGATGATTTCTGTAAGTCTCCAATTTCCCATCATCTTCAGTAATGTTTTTCAGTATACTTAAATAGTCTCTGCCAACACTTAAGGCCTTAAGGATTTGGTCTCCATTAGGTACATGAACATAACAGGCACAATCGTAACACAATCTTAACATTGAGATGTGGTTCGATTTTTTGTATTGTTTAGGGGCCTGGGGACAGAACCCAGGGATGTGGACATGCTAACCCTGAACCACGTCCTCCACCCCAGTTACCATTCTAAAGTGTATAGTTCCATACATTTTAGTGTATTTACAGAGTTAGGCAACTGTCTCATCTACTTTCCCTATTGCCATGACAAGGCAACTTTTACAACAAAACAAAACAAAAAGATGTGGAGTCCATGGCCATCGTGGCCGGGAGCATGGTGGTGGCAGGCGTGACGCTGGAGCAGAGGCTGAGGGCTCTCACCTCCATATACAAGCCAGAGGGAGCTAACTGGGAATGGTGGGGCTTTCGAAACTTCAAGGTCAGCCCAGGGACACCTCTAAGAAGGCCATATCAAATCTTTCTCAAATAGACCCAGAATTAGGGATCAACCCTATGAACCTATGGAGGCCACTCTCATTCAAACAATCAAATCAACCATCGTCTTTCTTCTGAACACTCCCTTTATCCCCCAACAAAATTCCTGTGTCTATCGACAGTCACTCTTTAAAAATATGTATTCACTTTACTCTAAGTTGTATAATACATAATATATGAATGACTCTAACATGGACCACATTATGTGGTAATGTATATATGGGGCTGCATGCACGTGCGTTAGCTCTGTGTGGAGGCCAGAAGAGGGTGCTGGATCCCTGGAGTTGGAGTTACAGGCCACTGTGGCCTGACATAAGTGCTGGGAACCATACTTTGGTCTTTTGGAAGAACAGCACACTTTTTTTTTTTTTTGAGACAGGATTTCTCTGTGTAGCCTTGGCTCTCCTGGTTTATTTTACTAGATGTGCATGCATGTAGATTAGGCTAGCCTTGAACTCCTGAGATCTGCCTGCCTCTGCCTCCCGAGCGCTGGGCCTAAAGGTGTGAGCCACCACCGCCCAGCTGCAGTTAGCCATTGCTCATCTCTCCAGCCCCACCCTCTTTCTGTCATGATATAGGATAGTGTTATATAACCCAGGCTGGCCTTGAACTCACAGCAGTTCTTTTGCCTCTGCCTCCCAAGTAAGTGCTAGGATTATAGGTATGACCCACCATGCTAATCTTCCTTTGTCCACCCCATCCCCCCCCTTTTTTTGAGACAGGGTCTTTCTTCAGAGATTTCTCTGCCTCAGCCAGGAACAAAGGTGGCATGTGCCATCTTGGCTGTCTTTGCTCATTTTATTTTATTAAAAAAAAAAAAAAACAAAACTTTTTAGCTGGGCGTGGTGGCTCATGTCTTTAATCCCAGCACTCCAGGAGGCAGAGGCAGGCAGATTGTCAGTTCGAGGCCAGCCTGGGCTACACAGAGAAACCCTGTCTTGAAAAACCAAAAAATAATTTTTAAAAAAAAATGTGCATTAGGGCTCAGCTCTCACCGATTAGGCGGTGGCTGTTGTGGGCCCAAGCTGCAGCTTGTAATTTACAATAAAAAGAACCTCATGTATTTAAAAAAAAAAAAAATGTGCATTAGGTGTTTTGGCTGAATGTATGTCTGTGTGATGTGTCAAGTCCCCTGGAACTGGAGTTAAAGACAATTGTGAGCTGCCGTGTGGATGCTGGGAATTGAACCAGGTCCTTTAGAAGAGCAGCCATGCTCTTGATCTCTGAGAGCCATCTCTGCAGCTTCCCCTTGTTTGCTTTAAAATGAAGGGCTTTCTTTCCCTATTAATTGTTGATTTATGATGATTATATAATTTTGAATTATGTTTGTTTATCATGCACGTGATTTGAAAATATTGTGCCCTATTCTGTGGGTTCTTTCTTTCTTTGGATGCAGGGTCTTGCTCTGTAGACCAGGCTGGAATCAGACTCACAGAGATCCCCCTGCCTCTGCCTGCCAGGTGCTGGGATTACAGGCGTGCGCTACCCCCACCCAGCTCTTTTATTAGTGTTTTTGAAACACTAACAAACACTCATGAAGCCCAGGCTGGCTGACTTGACGTGTGGCAGGGGATAACCTCAAACTTCCAATCGTCCTGCCTACTGCCATCTCCATGGGGATGGTCTGGGACTTCAGGTGTGTGCCGCCACACTTGGTTTTCCTAGGTGATGAGAATAGAGCCCTGGGCCTCAGGCATACCAGGGAGGCATTCTAACAGAGCTGCTTTCCAGCCCCAATATGTTTGTGTTTTAAAAGATACCATCAAGAAAATGAAAATAGGTCCAGGGAGGTAGCTCACTGGCTAAGAGCAGCAGAGTTTGATTCCCAGCATTCATTTGGTGGTTCACAACCATCAGTAACCACGGTTCTAAGGAGTTCACCAGGAATGCACAGGTTACACATACATGTACACAGATAAAACTTGTTTGCACATCAAGTAAAATAAGCCTAAAGGAAGAAAGTGGTGATGCAAGTCTCTAATTACGACAGGAAGGAGGCTAGCCTGGGCAAGCTGATTGAGTATACTACAAAGGAGAGTGGGCTGGGCAGTCATACAAGTACCATTTGCTTAGAATTATGTTGCTTTGAAGTAGGGTCTTATGTGTCCCAGGCTGTCCTTGAACTCACAATCCTCTTGCCTCCTCCTCCCAAGTACTGGGATTATGGGTGTGTGCAACCAAACTCAGCTTTGTTACTGTGTATTTGAGATACTGACTAACTATGGAGCCCTGGTTGACCCGGAACTCACTACTTAGATCAGGCTGTCCTCAAAACTTGTATCTCGATCCTCCTTCTATTATATGAATGCTGGGATTACAGATACGATTGCCACCCTCAGCTCAACAGTTTTTGCTTTTTTAACATTTTGTTTCTTTGTTGTGTGTGGGTGTTTTGCCTGCATGTGCATCTGTACGCCACATGCATGCTGGTACTTTAAGATTCCAGAAGAGACAATATAAACCCAGGAGACAGATAAACAGTCCTGGTTCGCTTAGGACTGGCTGCATAGACCAGGCTGGCCTCAAACCTGTGGTGGTCCTGCTTCAGTCTCCAGAGGGGTGAAAAGTAAATGTTCCTACAACCAGCCTCTCAATTTTAATTGTTTGTTTGTATGTTTGAGACAGCCTTACTTTTTAGCCCAGGCTGACTTCAAACTCCCTATGTGTCCTTCTGCCCAGAAGGACTAGAGGCTGTCTCAACCTCCGGAGTGCTGAAAACAAGTGTGTGCCATCATAGCAGGCTGAACAGCCATGCCCCCTTACCCTCCTATGGTGGAGAGCCTGCTGTCTCCAGCCCAGCTCAGGAGGCGGGACATTACTACAGGGCTCTCCAGACAGATGGACCCTGAAACCAAGGTATGTCCTCTCACCCTCAGGACAGCAAGGAGCTGGCTCGAAAGGGCCACCTGATGGGGATGAGGCCTGTGGTCCTGATCAGCTACAGGTACCCAGTCAATTTCTACCGGTGGAAGATCGAGAATCTGCAAGTGCAGATGGAGGCTGCTCCGCTGCGCAGCACAGGTGGGCCAAATGGCTGCAGTGGATGGGGCGGGGGAGTCCAGGCAGACCCTGAGGCCTGCATGGGCTTCTGACAGCCTCTAACACCTGCTCGATCCGTCCAACCCCAGAACACTGCGCAGCAGAGGCTATGTGCATCCTGAACTGGTACACACCCATGCCCATCAAGAATGGCAGTGTGGTCATGAGCGTGGACATCAGCAGCAATGGCATAGGGCCCTTCATTCCCCGGAAAAGGTGCTGTTTCAGGGCACGCTCAGAGGAATGCCAACCCCCAGAATCCCAAAAGAAGCAGGGGCAGCAAAAGGGAGGAGCTGGGGAAGGTGGCTGCGAGCTGTGGCTCCCCTGGGACGGCATTCCTCATAGGCGCCTGCTTGCAGGTTCTACATGAACATGAATGGCTTCTTGAAAAAAGATGCAGACGAGAGAGTGATCTACACCATTGGCTACGAGGTGAGGGCTGCCGGCCGGGGTCATGCATGAGTGGACACATTGCCTCTGTGCCCTCCGGACCAACACGGATCTCACTGTGAAACACTTAATTGTGCTCAGGCCCCAGATGACACTTTCCCAAATGTGCCATTCAGTTCCTCTTTCAGAGTTACTCTAGAGAGGAAGGGGTGCTCTCTCTCTCAATCTCTCTCTCTCTCTCACACACACACACCCACCCTCCCCATTGTTAGGGACTTGAGAGTCCCAAGCTTTCCAGATAAGCAGTCACAGGGTGATCGCCCACCTCATTGTCTCATTGGATTTTATGTGTTTTTGTTTTTTTTTTTTTAATATTATTGTGTGTGTGTTTATACCATGGTATACAAATGGGGGTCAGAGGACAACTTTTCGGAGCCTGTTCTCTTTCTACCGTGTGGAATTGCCTGGGATTGAATGCAAAGACGTTAGACTGCCAGGACATCTCACCAGCCTGTAGAACATCTTGTGGTGTTTTGAAGCAGGGTCTCAATGTAGCCGGCAGTGGTCCCCAGGCAAGCTTTGAGAAGCTGCAGCCTCGGCCTCCCAGATGCTGCAACCAGAGACGTGGGGCACCAGTCCTGGCCTACTCATTTTAACTTTTCTAGTACGTTATCTATTTTGCGGTGGGGGACACATGTGGCACACACGGAAGTCGGAAGACAGCCTTCAGGAATGGATTCTCTGTCATTAAACTCAGGACTGATGTGGGGACAAGCATCTTTTACCCACTGAGCTATCTCATACCATGCGGACTCACTTCAAAGATGAGAATGATGAGGCTCCAAGGGAGGGCATTGTTTCCAACCTCCTCTCAAAGAGTTCCCAGAGAAGGAAAGTTGAAACCATTCTTCATGATTCCTACACCCATATTCCAGTGTGTGTGGGCAATGTTGGGGATTGAACTCAGGTCCTTGTGCTTACCTGACCAGCAACTCTCCTGCTGAGCTAAATCCCTAGCCCTCCCATGGGGATGTAGCTCAGAGTACCAGCTAGGGGGGCGAAAGAAGGAAGAGAGAGGCAGCTGGTGCAAAGCCCCTGGGGTGAACTGAAAAGGAAGGAGGAGGCCTGGGATGGGCCTAGGTTAGAAGGAAGGCAGAGCAGAGGGGGAGGCTGGGGGGCAGCAGCAAATGGCAGAGGCTTTGCAGTCAGGAGAGCTTTGGCTTGGGGCAGAGATGGAGGTGTAAGTGGGTAGATGAGGGCTGAATGCATTTTTGCTCCCCTGACAGAGCATTGTTATGAAGAGTAATAACTTTAAGAAATCGAAATCAAGGCCCCTGTGGTACACGGTAAACCACGCCCCTGTGCTCATCCTGGGAGGCATTGAAGGGGAAAAGGCCCTTCTGATTACAGACACTAATTTCCAGGATGCCTCTCTCGTAGAGGTGAGTAGTGCCAGCCAGGCGCAGACACTGAATGGGGTCTGGGGCTACAGAACGGGACCCCAAAGATATGCCAGTCTCCAGCAACAGGGTATGAAGAAAAATGTCACTGCCAGGAAACAGAAGTTTCAAATCTTCTTTTTTAAAAATACGTTCTGGGGGGCTGGAAAGAGGGCTCAGAGGACTCAGGTTCAGTTCTCAATACTCATGTGGTAGCTCACAGCTGTCTGTAACTCCAGTGCCTAAGGATCAGAAGCCCTTGTGGCTACCCTAGGCATCAGGCGCACATGTGGAATACAGCCTTACATACATGCAGGCAAACCACCTGTACACATGAAAATGAGAGAGGAGGGAGAGACAGAGAGGCAGGAATAGTAGCACACACTTTTGATCCCAGCACTCAAAAGGCAGAGGCAGGCAGATCTTTTGCGTTTGAGACCAGCCTGGTCTACATAAAAAGTTAAAGGCTGGCCAAGGCAGCATAACCATAACAACACCCTCTTAAAAAAAAAAAATGCACACATGGGGGATTGGAAAAGTGGCTCAGCAGTTCAAGAGCACTGGCGGGTGCCCACAGAGGCCAGAAAAGGCCACTAGATTCCCCAGAACATGAGTTACAGAGGGTTGTGAGCCCCCAAGTATGTTCTGAGAATCCAACCTGGGTCCACTGGAAGAGCAGCCAGTGCTCTTAACCACTAGGCCATCGTTCTAGAGTCAACATGGAATATCTTCTCTCCATGTGCACAGAACTCTGACATGGGCACAGGGATTATTGAACACATTGTACACTGTTTAATTCCTGGTTGTGCCCAAACTGGCCACACTGCGGTGGGGGGGGTGTCTCTAAGCAGTTAGAACGGTAGCTACGGCCAAGGCAGGATGTGGAAGCTGAGGCCTCGGTCACTTGCTCCCTGCAGCTGAGCATCGACAGTTGCTGGGTTGGCTCCTACTACTGCCCCATGCTTAGCTTCTCAGCCACCATCTTTGATGCCATTTCCACCGAGAGCACACTCTTCATTCGGCAGAACCAGCTCGTCTACTATTTCACAGGCCGCTACTCCACACTCTTCGACACCAGCCACAGCAGCAGTGAGAAGGCTGGGCTGGGGGTGGGAGGGGTGGAGGAGGTGTGGGTATCAGGGAAGCCAAACCAAGAAAGATGGTGACCAGAAAGGAAGAAGTCCAGGCACTGTCACCTGGTGTACACCTGTCATCCCCATACTTGGGAGACAGAGGCAGACTGACCAGGAGCTTATGGTCGTCCTCAGCCACAGAGCAAGTTTGAGGTGAATCTGGGCTACATGAGACCCCAGAGATGGAGGAGCCACACGTATGGGTGGGGGGGTGCCACAGACCTCTGTAATCCTAGCATTTGAGAATATCTAGTTCAGGGCAATCCTGGGCTGCATATTAGGTTCCAGACAGCCTGGGAAACTGAGAAGTGCCTCAACCCACTCCGTCGTGGCGGGGGCTCGGGGGAGGTGGGAATGCCTGCCTATTGGTTTACCCAACCACGAAGCCTGTGAGCTTGAGACATTGGTGTGCCCAGATTCTCCTTAACTCTTGGCCTCCTTGCTGAGCTTGGTGATTCCTGCCCTCAGCCAGACCCAGAGAAGCCGCACACCTTTTAGCTAACGGCTGCCAGCTGGAAGGGTCTCTCATTGGCCTGACTCTGTCCTACACTCACTTCAGAACCAGGGGAGTAAAAGGGTTGAACCCATTTGGACCTCACAGACAGCCCCAAATTATTTGGTGGCATACACCTGACATCCCAGCATTTGGGGATGCAACAGCAGGAAGCTGGCCAGGTTGAGGCCAGCCTCGGCTACAGTGTAAGACCCTGTGTCATAAAACCAAAACCAGTCATAACAAACTAGAACTCCAGGGTAGAGGGCTGGGAGTGTGTCACAGAAGTGACACATGTTGCTCTAGAGGCTCTGCAGTCCCGCACTGACTTGTGCTCCGTGTACTGGAAGACCAGAAGGACGGGGAGGACGGGGTCCAGGCACCAGTCTGGCCACCTGGTTTTGAGTCCCCATGCTTTGCCCCCCCAGGCAGGTGGGTGCGTGTCCTTCCTACCGAGTGCATCAAGAAACTGTGCCCAGTGTTTGTCAATGGCAATGGCTCGGAGTACGTGCTGGCCCTCAACACTGGCATCCACGAGGGTTACATTCACATCGGGACCATCACAGGTAAACCCCAGGAGACAGTCCTCTCCACTTTCTCCCCTCAGGCTCCTATTCTGTGCCATATGTCCTCAGGAGAGGTGGCAGGCTCAGGGTCGTTCTGTGTGTATGGAAATGGGTTTACTGGCTGCCAAGCCTGAGGACTGGAATTCAACCCCTGGACCCGTACAAGATGGAAGAAAAGAACCAACTCCCACAGGTTGTCCCTTTGACCTCCTCATGTGGTCACAGCATGCAGGAAAAAGGGCCATCCTGGTCTGTGTTGGGAGTTCTAGGCTAGCTAGGACTACAGAGTGAGACCTTGTCTTAAAAAAAAAAAAAAAAGGGAGAGAACTGGAGGGTTGGCTCGGCAGAGAGCACGGGCTGCTCCTCAGAGCACTCACATGGCCGGGCCTAGTTGCTTTGTGGGGGATCTGGTACTCTCTTTGGCCTCCTCTAGCACTAGGCATTTTCTTCTCTTTGCTTGTTTTGTTTTTTAGCAAAGCAGTTGGTAAGTCCCTGTGGCTGTGTCACATGGTGACTGAATAGAAGACAAACCCCAGAGCCTGCTCCATGGACCCCTGGATCTGTGGCTCTGTGTCAGCAACATGGCTTCACTCATGTCACTCTCCCATCTAGCACACGGGGACATTGTCATGACCAGATGCCCATTCCATAGTGTTTCTTTGGGCTCATGGAAAGAGTGAATAAATTCACTGGACAAAGGGATGCATGTAGTCACAACACTTGGAAGGCTAAGGCAGAAGGGTCGAAAGTTGGAAGCCATCTTGAACTAAAAAGACTAAAAGGGCCAGAGCTTGGCTCAGCATTAAAGAACTGGTTGGGCTCTACCAGTGAACGCTGAGGTCGGCAGTGTGCCCCCAACCCCCTGCTACCTTATTGTTTTCTTTTGAGACAGGGTTTGTCTGTTTGGCCCTGGCTGGCCTGGAACTTGCTCTGTAGACCAGGCTGGCAATTGGCTTCTATAGGTTACATCTCCAGACCTAAAAAGCGTTTCAGAGACAATAGATCAAGTGCAGAGATGAGTGCAGACCTAACCCCTAGAGTCCCTGGACTAAGAGGATTAAGGTGTGGGGTCCCTGAAGGGGTGATGGGGGGTGGGATGGCCTGCAGGTGCTAATGGACCTATGCATGGGACCTGACTCGATCCACAGATGGTCTCGTGTCCTTCCGGATGGTGCCCACTGGCTGGTCAGTCTGTGATCAGTTACCAGGTACTCAGTTTTCGGTGGGATCTGGGCTAGGTGGGTGGGAGGCCTCCAAGAAAGGGTGTGAGAGGTTATGAGCCCTGGACTGCTCTGGATCCCGCCCTCTAACAGGTACAAACTGCACCATTGACTGGGCCACGTACATCGCCGATGAGAAGAACCTGCTGCTGCTGCTGGAGATCCTGAATGAGAACTTGGATAAGGTCTTTTACCTGCTCAGCTTTAATCTAGGTAACCAGGTTTCCTGGAGTCAGGAGGGGGTGTGCAGCCGGCGGGATTGCGGACCATATGCCCACCCCAAACCTGCCGTTCTCAGATAAGATGTAGAGTGGAGCTGGGCGTGGTGGCCAGTGGAGTCCCAGCACTCAGGAGGCAGAGGCAGGCAGATCTCTGTCACTTTGAGGCCAACCTGGTCTACAAATTGAGGCCAGGAAAGCCAAGGCTACACAGAGAAACCCTGTCTTGAAAATCCAAAACCAAACTAAAAAAGACGTAGAGGAGGCTGAGGAGGCCTGGGAGAGAGCTAAAAGGAGACTGCAGAGAGGGCCTGAAGCTGGATCTGGAAGGCCCTGTGGTCCACAGAGAGGTTTGGCTTTATGTTCCTTTTGAGATAAAAGCTGTCTCAAAAATAACAACGAAGAAGAATGCCTAACTGGACCCCAAGTGTGTGTACACATAAATGACATTCTGGGCCACTAAGATGGCTTCGTGGGGAAAGGTACTCGCCACCAAAGCCTAACGTAAGTTCAGTTCTGAGGGTCCGCCTGGTAGAGGGAGAGAACTGACTCCCAAAAGTTGGCTTGTGTTGCTGTGGAATGTGCATGTATATGCACATACGCACACACACGTACAGTAATATAATTAAGCAAGGAGGGGATTCAATCCTAAGTGGAAAGCCAGTAGAATCCTTATGCTAGATGGGAATTTGTTTTTATTTTTGTTCGTTTGAAACAAGATTTCCTTATGTAGCCCTAGTTGCCTTAGGATCCCCAAAGTGGATCAATCAGTCCTCAAACAAAGGCCCACATGCCCCTGCCTCCTGAGTGCTGGGATTAAAGTGCCACCGTGCCCTGTCGCCAACATAATACCGGAGGGAAAGCTGTAGCTTTGCCCTCCTTTCGAGAGAGCTGTTCAGGCTTCAGGTGCCATTTCCCCCCTAGACACGGAGGCGCTGGATATCCTGTACATCCTGCCACAGTATGTTCCACAAGGTAGGACCAAAGGGCGGGGGTGGCTTCCAGGGCAGGCAAGGCCAGGAAGAGTCAGCTGACCTCCCTGCTGGACTCTCCTCCCTGCGGTGGTCAGCTAGTGGCGACTTCTTGGTGCTCCTTGGGACGGAGACCTACACCAACACTCCTATGATCCCCGAGGGCTTGTTCTTCAACACATTCAACAACATGCTGTACATCTGGGGAAACTTCATCCTGCAAAGGTAGGTCACCGCCTCCCTAGGGACTCAGACACACACACACACACACACACAATTGTTGTTTTTGAGACTGGTCTCACCTATGTTGCCCTGGCTGTCCTGGAATCACTCTGTAGACCAGGCTGGCCTTGAACTCAGGCCTGCCTCTGCCTCCCCAGTGCTGAGATTAAAGGTCTATGCCATAATTCCCCAGTAAAGTTTTATTTTATTTAGTTATGTGTATGTATATATGTGTGGTGTAGGTGTCTACTAAGGCCAGAAGAGGGTGCTAGAAACCCTGGAGCCAGAGTTATATGGTGCTGGCTGGGAATCTATCTGTAAGAACAGCAAATGATCTTAACCCCTAAGCAATCTTCCAGGCCTTCAACAGGCTGTGTGTCTGTCTGTGTGTGTGTATGTGTGTGTGTGTTTGCACATGACTAGAATGGAACTTAAGGTCTATGTTAGGAAAGTACTTCACTGGTCAGCCATGACCTCTGCCCCTTACTGCTGGACTCTAGGCAAACAAGCCATCACTGATGAATCACCTCACTCCAGCTCTCGGAGCCTTTTTGTAAAATGAGACTTTTTGGACTGGACACATGTGAGCAATAGAAAGTGTTTTCTGGGGACACTTTAGAACTTTTCCTACCCATCTGCCCTCTTACTCTTCATGAACTTTTAAAAGAAAGGAATCAAATTTAAAACCCATTCATGCACATATCAGAGCCCAGCCTCAGGCATGGCTGGGTCCAGGCGTCACAGGGTCTTCCGTTAGGACTCCATTTCTAGGCAAGGTAGTACTTTTACTGTGGTAGGACAGAGGGGTGAGTCCTGGGGTCCCCCCCCCAAAAAAAAATCAAGAGTTGGGGAGGTAAAGGCTCAAGACCACAGGGATGCCCCAGTGCATGATGGAAGCTGAAGCTGGCGTTGCAGGGTCCCGTCGCTATTTACAATGGCAGCAAACAGTTTGTGAGTCCTATGCTAGATTATGGTTGCCGTGGGAAAGGCGGGTGTCTAGAACTCTGGATGCCACATGCTCAGAGCTCCCTCTCTCTGCTCCTGCAGCTACAATAGGATACACTTCATTTATCTGGCGGACTTCCCCAAGGAATACACCATCAAATACATGGTCAACTCTTACCATGGAGAGATGGTTTTTGTCACAGATAAAGAGGAGGTGAGCTACCCTGTTGTTCTCCCCAGGCCCCCTTTGTTCGCCCTCAAACCCTCCTGCACTGTCAGGGCAAACACCCTTAAGGGACCCCAAGATAAGGTCATAGGAGCTCTATCTGTAACAGGGTCCTGGAAGAGGAGAGGGTAGGGGATTCCCAAAGAGTGTGTATCTTTGGAAGGACGCAGCACAGTGGGAGAGTAAGGGAGGGTTAGGGTGGTCCCCACAGCCCATACATGATGGCTTCTGGATCCACAGATCTGGTACTTTCTGGAGGGTGGCTATGATGTGTACCGTCTGGTCCCATCCAGTGGCTGGAACACTTATGTTTTCCTGCACAAGATGGAACAGTCTTCCCTCTTTGGGGACCGAGAGTATTTGGTCAGCGTCTTCTATGAGGATGGGCAGCTCTACCAGGTGCCAGGAGGGCTTGGTAGGGTGGGGGTAGGGAGCAGGTGGGGAGCTACAGGGAGGTTCCACCAGCTTACCTGCCTGCTTCTGGCCCCAGCTGATCTATCTTACCAAGGCTGGCCGTAGTCGTTTGGTCAAGAGGCCTTTGCACGTGGCAAAGTTGCTGCTGTATCAAAATCGCAGACCCCAGACATTTGAGATGCAAGGGTGAGAAGATGGGCCCGTGAGGCTGCCTCAGACTCCCAGTTCAGGGGTGGGGCCTGGAGTCACCAAAAGGATAGCCTGGTGGTGGGAGTGGATGGACTCAGCATGGACCAAAGCCCAGAGGAACAGGGAGGTGGAGCTGGAGGGCTTTTGGGGCCTCAGGGAGGAGGGGAGCTATGGGCCTGAGGGTAAGGAGGAATTAGTGAGAAGGAAGTAGGAGGGTGTTCAGACATTGGAGCCTTCTTGTAAAGACCTAAGAGAAAAGGAAATTAGGGGTTCAGTAATTGACAGACTCCAGAAATGGTCCCCATTTGCTGTCACAGCACTTGTGAGGTTAAGGCAGAAGAGTTTGGAATTCAATGTGAGTTTGGGCTACAAAGTGAGACTGGGGGGGGCTCTTTTGGACACCTGCAGAGGGTGCAACCAGGACGGCAGCTTGGCGGTGGGGGCAGGGTTAATGCAAGCAACCTCTCTGGGGTGGAGGAAGAAAGCATCAAGCAGAGAGCAAGGGAACTGATGGTGGAGGGGAGTGGGCTCTGGCCTGAGGGACAGCCAACAGCATGTCCCGAGCTGCTGAGCATGAGGACACTCAGCCGAGTTTGGGATAGGCCAGGTTAAATCTGGGGAAGCAGAATTCAGAGGTGGGAAATAGAGGCTAGGGCCGCTCCTGACACACCAGGGGAATCAGCATCTTCTCTCCCCTTGCATGCCGTGGCCTGCTGCTACCCAGGAAGTACAAGAAGCTGTCCTTCACCAACCTCTGCCCTTTCAAGGTGATGCGTCTCCGTGACCTGCCTGAAAAACAACACTTTGCACGCCAGGAGCTCTACCATGCTCCACCACCTCTGGTCTCTCAGACTTTGGGCTTCCACAACAACAAGACACTCGCTGTCTACCAAGGCCTTGTCTATTACCTGCTGTGGCTGCATTCCAAGTATGACAAGGTGGGCACCTGGAGGCACTGAAGAAGGGGACTGTCCGGCAGGGGTGAACTTGAGGGGTTAGTGTAGCCAGAGCAGAGCCTGGAGTTCAGAGGTGTGGGGAGGGGGAGGGGGCAGGAGGCATAGCAGGTCTGAGCCTGACTTCATCCAGGTTCTTAGGGGTGAGGCCATTGGATTAAAAACCAGGAAGCCAGGTTTAAGTTATACATGCTGGCCCATGCCTGTAATCTCAACACTTGGGGGTGGAGGCAGGAAGATCAGGAGTTCAGGGCTAGCCTGAACTAGCTACATGAGACCCTGCCCTTACCAAAAAGAAAAAAGGACCTGGTATGATGGTGCATGCCTTTATCCCAGAGGCAGAGGCCGGAAGGCAGAAGGGCAGAGGGACAGAGGGACAGAGAGGGGCAGGGGGGGGGTAGAGAGGGGCAGAGAGAGGCAGAGAGACAGAGGAGAGTAGAGAGGGTCAGAGAGGCAGAGGGAGGTAGAGAGGGCCAGCGAGGGCCAGCGAGGGGCAGAGAGGGGGGTAGAGAGGGGCAGAGAAGGGCAGAGAGGGGCAGAGAAGGGCAGAGAGGGCTAGAGAGAGGCGGGGGGATAGAGAGGGCCAGAGGGGCAGAGAGGGGGGTAGAGAGGGGCAGGGAGGGGGGTAGAGAGGGGCAGAGTGGCAGAGAGAGGGACAGAGAGAGGGGCAGAGAGGCAGAGAGGGGAGGAGAGAGGGATAGAGAGGGGCAGAGAGGCAGAGGGGGGTAGAGAGGGGCAGAGGCAGACAGAACTCTTGCATGTGAGACCAGCTTAGTCTACATAGTGAGTTCTAGGACAGACAGCCAGGGCTACATAGAGAGGTCCTGTTTTGAAACAAAACAACAAAAGCAAATGAACAAAAAGCAAAGCAAGGGGCTGGGGAGATGACAGAGTAGTAAGTGCTTGCTGCACAAAGCATGAGGACCCAAGTTGGAATAATAGCCCCATGGAAAAAGCTGGGTGTGAGGGCCGGGCCTGGGGTCTCAGCACTGGGAAGGCAGAGACAGGCTGACTGGTGGATTCATCAGCTAGTCTAGTGGGGTCAGGCTTCAGTGAGAACGCCCTGAATGGCCTCTGTGGAAACACAAGCAATGGCCTCTATGACAGGCACCCGAAGCCCTGTCTTGGGGCGGGCTGGGCGATTATCCCCTACTTTGGGCTCTGAGCTGAACCCAATCCTAGAGCTGTCTGCCTTGTTCCTCCTCCCTGTCACCTCACTGACCGGTGGTCCCACAGCCCTATGCAGACCCTGTGCACGATCCCACCTGGCGCTGGTGGCAACACAAGAAACAGTACAAGGTAGGTGGACGGGTGGGAGTCGGTGGGGGCAGCACGGGGACGCGTGTGTCTCGCCCACTGGCTGACCACCCTGGTGCATCCAGGATTACTACTTTTACCTGTCCAGCAACTGGCTGGCAGCGGAAGGCGTGTACATCGACATGAGCAGCTACCAAAAGCTCTACAACATCTCGAACGACCACGGATTGCCCGAAATTGTCTTCCTGGACAAGGGCACCTCGTTTAGCTTCACTGTCTTCCTGTCGTCACAAGAGGATACCTTAATGTCCGCAGCCACCCTCGGTCTGTGGGCAGAGCGTACTTGGCAGCTGAGGGGCGGGGCCTGGACCCTCTGGGGTTGGGGAGCAGACATCAAGCCCCCCCCCCCCCCCGCAGGCACTACCTTCCAGGTGGAGAAAAAGCTGGCAGTGGCCGTGGTTGTGGCAGATCCTGATTGCCTTAAGGCAACTGTGAAACAGGAGGTCCTTCTTAATCGAAAAGCAGTGCTCTATAAGGTGAGGAAGCCAGGGAGGAGGTACGGGGCCTTGGCTGCTGCCCCTCTGGTCCTCTACACAGGGAGTGGAAAGCCACAGATCTTATTAGCCCCTCTGAATCCCAGTTTATCAGGCCTTTGAATGTCCCTGGATCCTAGGACAGAATTTGGACATTCCTTTTATTTCCATCTCTCCTTCCTCTCTAACTCAGATTAAAATTGAGGACAGAAAGGTCTGCTATGATCAGGGCCTCAGTGGGCACAACCTCAAGAAGACTTCCATGATGATCAAAGTATGGTCCAGGCTTGGGGAGGCGGGTGATGGAGGGGTAAGAGAGTGGTCCCTTGGATCCCCAGCATCTCCTACTCCTACCCACAGGTGTTGGGCTCTGCTGGCAAATGTTTCCAGACCACATTCCTTGGGACAAGCATGCAAGTACTGGAGCTTGGGCGCTGGGTCTGGTACAGGGAGTAGAGGGAGGGGGTCGAGGCCCCGCAGGGCTGCTTCCTGTTGCTGGCCTGGGAACACTGCACATGCATTCATATTTTAATTGACGTGCATGGGTATTTTGCCTGAGTGTGACTGACTGTTCACTGCCTGTGTGCCTGGTGCCTACAGAAGCCAGGAGAGAAGAGGCCTTCTGATCCCCTAGAACTAAAGTGACAAATGATCGTGAGCTGCCATGTGGGTGCTGTGGGTCAAACACACTGTTTTTTGTTTGTTTGCTTGCTTGCTTTTTAATTTCCAGTGCTAGAGCCTGGACTCGGGCCTTTGAGGGAGCTGAGCAAGCACTCTACCACTAAGATGCCAGCCCAGCTCTCACAGATTGTTTTAGGTTTTCTGGCTCAGATGTTCTGGGCTTTTTCCTTTGGCTCCAAGGTTCTTCTCTTACTTACACAGGTACTCTCAGCCATGCACACAGTTAGCCACTGAGGCCTAGAGCGATGCATACCAACCCAGGGAGATCATAGATGTGGAGGACCCAGAGTCCTCGTTCTCCATCAGTCCCTGTCTTGTCTGTCAGCAGACTCACCCTGGGCTCCTCCTTCCTGCTTTGGAATGACTCAGGAAGAGGAAGAAGTTGTAATAGGCACAGACTCCTTAGATGACATGTGTCAGGCTAAAGTCACCAGGAACAAGCTCCGATGAGTGAGGATGAGTCAGGATGAGTCAGGGTGTGTGTGTGTGTGTGTGTTCCAGAAAGATACGGGAGGAGACAAGTTGAGTTTAGGGGAGAAAATAGGTCTGGTCTTTGTTTGTTTTTTTCCTTTATTTCTGTGACAGGGTGTCACTCTGCTGTACAGGCTAACCTCAAACTTGTAGTGATCCTCCTGACTGAGCCTCCTTAGCTGGATCCCTTCTCTGTTACAGATGGCGTGATGAGCCGTGTGCTGGGATTCTGGGTTTATTTTGAAGGCTAAGCACATGGTGGCAGCATGCCTATACCCTAACTCTGAGGGGGCCCAGCAAACTCTTAACACCCTGCTGTGGGTTCTAGGCCAGTGCTCTCCATGGTCAAGCTACATTCATAGCCTAGGGCCAGAACTGCTCCACTGCACACCTGGGAGAGAGACAGCCCGGCAGCTCTCTGTAGGCTGAGTCTCAGATGCTCATCTGGCCCCCGCTGAGCACTGACTGCTGGGTATGGTGGCTGGCACAGGCCTGGCATGGAAGGTGCTTACTCTGCATCCTCCAGGAGAGACCCGATTCTGAAGGCGATGGTGTGGGTGTCCACACCCACGGTGCTCGGCTTTGCTTGGGTATCACAAGAGAGTCCCCTGTTGGATTATAGTCCAAACTCAGACCTATCAGCTGTGAGCAGGAGCTGGGGCTGTGCAAGTGTGGGCACCAGCACCTTTGCTATTTCTTGCGAGTAGCACGTGAATCCTCCCTGTTTCAGCCCCAGTTCTACCCCCTACCACAGTGTGGTTCGGTAGAATGAATAAGTAACTTGGCCTTTCTGTGCCTAGTTTTTGTTTTTGAGACAGGGCCTCAGATAGCCCAGGCTTGCTAGGAGCTTGCTGTGTGGCTAAGGCTGACCTTGAATCCTCTGACTCCTTGCACAGCCTCTGAAGTGCTGAGGTTAGAGGTGTGAACTGCCATGTCACGCCTCCCTGACCCGCACAGGGTCTTAGTCTGTAACCCAGGCTAGCCTGAACTCAGCCACACAGCCCAGACTGGCCTACCTAACCTTACAACTCTCCTCCTGCAATGGCTCCCCGCCACAGCTGGCTGTTTCTCGTTTTTGTCATCTGTCTTGGCCTCAGATCCCAGATCCCCCTGCCTTGTCCTCCTGGGTGCTGGGATAACAGGTATGTGCCATCACATATAGCTTTGCCGTGTCTACAGTGGGGGTATTGCCTGGGGTGATGCTACATGCTTTTCATTTTAGGGTTCTGAAGGCAGAGACAGGCAGATGTAGCTTTGTGAGTCCAAGGCCAGCTTGGTCTACACAGTGAGTTCCAGGACTACATAAAGAGATCCTATCTCAAACAAACAAAACATAAAATAACAAAATGGGACATATCGATGGTCTGTCTGTACCACACATGGCTCACATGGCTCACATGGCTTGAACAGGCTTAGTTAAGAAAATGTGTTAAACCAGGCACACACCTTTAATCCTAGCACTCAGGAGGCAGAGGCAGGAGGATCTCTGCGAGTTCAAGGCCAGTTTGGTCTACAGAACTAGTGCCAGGACAGCCAAAGCTACCCAGAGAATCCCTGCCTCAAAAAACAAAACAAAACAAAAAAACAAAAAAGGAGAAAGAAAACATGTTAAGCTCTTAGAACATTATCCAATGCCTTGTACATTTATCAGAAATACTGTGTTAACTGGGTGTTGGGGGACATAGAGCTATAACTCTTGGGGAGGTGCAGGTAGATGGTAGGGAGTTTAAGGACAGCCTGGGCAACAGAAGAGTCTATCTCAAAAACCAAGGAAACTGGGCCTGGGGATGCAACACCTTTAATCCATCCAGCTCTTGGGAGGCACAGACAGAGTTTCTCTGAGTTTGAGGGCAGCTTGGTCTATGACTGCCTTCCAGCAACAACAAAGAACCTGAAGCCGAGGGAGCAGGGAAGTGTGATTGGATCTGGAAGGGGTTAAGGGGAATGGGTGGAGCGAATGTGATCCAAACATACCAAATGCAATTCTAAAAGTTGACAGAATGTTTGTGGAAAACAACAAACAAGGGCTGGGAGAGGTTTCAAGGGAAGTGCTTGCTTAGTGCTGGAAGAAGGCCCTGATTTCAGCCTTAGCACTGGGAAGAAAAAGCAGGCAGAGACTGGCCACCAACCACACCAGTGAGGGGCTGGCCGCCCAGGGTCTGTGTTAGAGGGAGGGTTCTTTCTGCTCCTTCAAGGCCATCTGGCCACCCGCCAGCAGGAGGTCTTTTTTCTACCCAGGGTAACCTGATGGTGCCAGTGTTAATCGGCTGTCCCCCTGGCAAGCGCCTGGCCTTCGATGTCACCTACACGATTCTGCATTCCCGGGAGATAAACAAACACTATTTTGACTGTGTGAAGTCGAACCCGGAGATGCCCTGCTTTCTCTTCCGTGACTGTGTGTTTGATCCCTTCTCCCAGATCCACGGTCCTCCTGTCCTGGCCTTCCTCTGGCCTTCCCTTTGCCACAGCCCCACCACCTTCTGCTGTAACCCCGAGTCCCGCCTCCACTCTTCTTCTCACTCCTCTCTGGACGAAGCTAATTTCCTCTTCCCCTGCTCTCCCTCCCAACCCAGTGTTCCAGCCCTTCTTCTTAGTCCAAGACATGGTGACGGGAGACTCTGGCAGTTTCCTGGGCAGGTGAGGACAGGCTGGCTGGTGGCTGCAGGCGCTTGACAAGTTCAAGACCCTAAGGGGGCCACGTTTACCTTTGCATTCTGCAGCTACCTGCTGAAGGTGGTGGGCGGTGGCCGCACACTTGACACCATCAGAGACTACACAGAAGAAGAAATCTTCCGTTATAACAGCCCGCTGGACAAGTAATCCCTCTTGGGGCCCTGTCCACAGTTGGCAGGTCTGGTCTGCGGGTCTCCTCTCCCACTTTCGGTTAAGCAGGGGACGATTTCTGCGAGCCTCAAACACTCAGTGCCTTAGACTCCCCCCACAGTGAGGCATAGGATCCCACAGATCCCACCAGGGCCCCCGCCCAAAGGGCTTACAACCGTATTGCACTCAACCCGCCTGACACTCTGTGTTTATGGGCCTGCACAGCTCAGAAAGCCTCATCTGGAGAACAAAGGTCGAAAGGACCACCTGGGATAAGAAGTTCTACATAATGTCCTATCTGAGCCCTGGAATCGAGTAAGTGCAAGCCCGAGGCCCTGCCTTCCAGGTCTGCGTGTTTGCCCGCACAGGGTCTCGGGGGTCGCAGGCCTTCAATACACTGTGTAGCTGAGGGTGACCTTGTTCTTCTGATTCTTCCATGTAGGTTTATGGGGTTCTGGGTTGCCAACCCCGGATTTGGTGCAGAACAGGCAAGCATTCTACCAACTGAGCTACATCCCCAGTACCCTACCCTGTTATGTTTTGTTTTATGCAGCTTCTCACCATGTAGCCCTGCCTGGTCTCCAAATCATGCTTGTCCTACTCTGCCTTCTGAACTGTGGGGATTATAGATAAGTTCTTTGTGTAAGCCCCTTCCCCCCATTCCTCTGGCTCCTTGTTCTTGCCTCTGAGGCTTTCTGATAGTTACATTAACAGTATTGTGTTTCCAAAGGAGGACTGTCCTTTGTGTAGAGAGGCTGTCCTGGAGTCCAGAATCTCTTCCTCGGCCTTCAGGCTTTGGCTCACATTCTCCTTCCTGCAGAAGAGCTTAGCCACATCCTTTCTTTCAAGTTGGGCAGTCTCTTCCTCTGGACTCCCACATGCCTTTCCCACCCTGAGCCTGTGCTTGCTCCTCCTCATCCTTCCTGACCTGCCTGCATATGTCCTTACGTTTTCTCCTTCCTGACTAGTCTACACTGTCCGTGTCTCCTGGAGAGCCTGTCTCCATTATGGCACAATTCTCAAATAGACACGATAGAACATTTTTTTGGTGGTGGCAGCTGTGCACACCTTTGATCCCAGCACTGGGGAGACAGAGGCAGGTGGATCTTTGAGTTCAAGACCAGCCTTGTTTACACAGCAAGTTCCCAGGACAGTCAAAGCTGTACAGGGAAAAACCCTGTCTTGGAAAAACAAAAACTTAATGCATGGTCAGCATCCATTGACAGTTAAGTGGAGATGTTAATGAATAAAACTGCAGAGACGCTCACGAGTATGTAAGGGCTTGATTGAGAACCATCTCTGACTCAATGAGAGGAAAACCATGATACCACAGGCAGCAAATCATGTTAGCCAGCTGCTCCTGCCACTGTGTTCAGTCCTGGTTTACTGACTAATGACATTAGCAAGGGGGAAGAAGTGAGGAAAGATGTGAGTTTGTATCTAGCTTGTGTTCGGACTATACTTGTGTGGCACACAGTAGGTACTCAGTAACATCTCGGTGAACTAGGAGGTGGAGGCAGGAAGGCAGCAGGCAGTGACTGAAGAGCCTGCCTCGGTGTACACAGTAGGAGAAGGCTCAAAGTACAGATGGAGGTGGGCCTCGGACCCTCCACTGGAGGGCTGAGGTGGGCGTGGCTCAGCAGTAAACTGCTTGCCTGGCTTGCGTGAGGCCCAAAGGTCCCAGCGAGCAGGCAGCCTGGAAAGGCTGGTGTTTCCCTGGAGAGAGGGTGCTGCAGCTGCCTGAACTTGGCCCCCAGGTGGCTGTGTTTGGAGAACTCCCCATGCCACGATATCACCCCCGGAAACGTCTTTGCACCTGAATTTTTCCTCAAGTTGTTGGTGAGCAATAGGTGAGCCAGGCAGATAGCCTAGGTGTGTGTTGGGGGAGGGGGGTGTGGAGATTGTTCCTTGGGGTGATGCCCCACTAATTTAACCCAATCCTGGACTCCGTTCCCTCACCAGAGGTGTAGACACTAGCACTTACTGTGACTACCAGCTCATCTTTATACTGCACATGCACGGGCTGCCTCTTAGCAGCAATCGCTCCCTCTTCATTGTCATTGTGAGTGGCGCCAGGGGCCTCCCTCCTGGGCGGGCAGGGTCAGCCACCACTGTGTCCCTGTGACCGCTGTACTGGGCTTGCAGGTTTCCATCAGTCTGCTCTCAGGCCTGGTGGTCTTCTACATCCTGTTCTGTATCCTGTGGCCTCACATAGTGAGGGCCTGGGCCTCATTACGCTGGAAGATTAACAATATCATGGCGTCAGAGTCCTACTACACGTATGCCACCTCCACTGCCGGCTTCAGTGTCCATTCTCACACAGTCTCAGAGGAGAGTCTCAAGGCTCCCTCCAAAGCAGGTTCCACAGAGGGCATTGTTGAAGCTGAGAAAGCCCAGGAGGCCTGAGTCTCGAAGTCTGTATCCTTTCTCATAAGCCCTTCAGCCTCTCTTAGTGAAAATACAGCCTGCCACCTTCCCTGGCTTTTCCGGTTTCATTCAGACTCTAATAAAGCCTCATTTCAGAAACAGCCCCTCAGAGAGGCTTCTGTCTGCTGCTTTGTAACAGTAACTAGCACAGCTGTAGTTATTGTCAAAATATCAGAACCTATGTTTTCAAGATGGCGCAAGCAGAGAAAGGCGTGCTGTCAAGCCTGACAATCTGACTTTGGTCCCCAAGACTCACGAGGGGTAAAGAGAGACCTGACTCTTTGAAGCCGTCCTCTGATCTCTGAGTACACACAATGTTTTCAATTAAGCCAGGCACACACCCGCCTCTAATCCCAGCATGGGAGGAGAGGCAGGCGGAACTAAAGACAGTTTGGGCTACATAGCAAGTTCCAGGCCAGCCAAAGCTATATAGACTTCATCTCAAAACAAAACGAAACATCAGAACAAACAACAAAACAATACTAGCTAATGTGGTGTGTCAAATTGTCATCTGACCACTTAGAAAGCTGAAGAAGCAGAAATATTCTAGTTTGAGGCCAGTCAGGGCCACTTAGTGACTTCCGGGCTAGCGTGGACTACAAGGAAGAGCCTTTTAACAGTCATGATTTAAAAAGTCAAGCGCGTTCCTGGTTCTGGAAAGCGGTTGTAAAACTTCCATTTCCATTCTTAACGGTTTGATTTCACTGAGAAACTATTCAGGGTGGCTGTAGGAGGGCAGGCATTTATGGGTGCCACTGTCCAGCTGGCTGCACTCACCAGCTGCTCCGCCCCTCTCATCCCGCAGGCTTCTCTGCTGCCTGGTTTCTCTCAGGCTGCATCACATCCTGATACTCTGGTGCTTGTAGCAGCTAGCACGCATTTTGAGTGCCAGTGACCAGCTAGTGGCGTAGGGGCAATGAAGGGATTTTGTACTAGTTGCAAGCAGTAAAGCCTGAGTTTGAGTATTCTATACAGAAGTGGTCATTTATGGAGCTTTTGTGATTGCTTTTTTTTTTTTTTTTTAAATACATGTATGTGTGTTGGGGTGGGGAGGGAGCGGCACAGCTCGCACATGGAGGTCAGAACAACTTAGGAGCTTTTTTCCTACCGTGTGAGTTCCAGAATCCAACTCAAGTTCTCATGTTTGGTAGGTGGCAAGCACATTTACCATTTCCAGTGTAATGAGCCATTACACTGCCCGCCCCACCTCCTTTCTTAACTTTCCTTCTGTCTTTCTTTTTGACGTCTCTTTGTGTAGCAGAGCTGGCCAGAGCTCACTAAGTAACCCAGGCTGCCCTCAAACTTGGAGTGATTCTTTTGTCTCTGCTTTATGAATGCTGAGATTCCAAACATGTGCCAGTGAGGTTGGCTTTGTTTTTTTCTCCAACATCCCTGTTTCTTTTTTTGGAGATGGATGTCTCATGTAGCCTAGGTTGGCCCTGAACTGGTTAAAGAACTGAAAGATGACTTGGAAACTGATTCTTCTCCCTTCATCTTCTAAATTCTGAGATTACTGGCTTTCCCTACCATATGCTCCTCAGTTTTGTTAGTAAAGGCTTCAGGTTTGACCCTTCAGTTTGTGCAGAAGTCTGTGGTTTCTACTCTGAACGTGGACTCTGACTTCAAGGTTTCCATCTTCACCTTCCGAGGCTGTAATCTGCATGTCAGATCGTCCAGAGAAGGAAGAGATGAGGGTTCTACAGGTCCATCCAAAAGTCCTATTGGTCACTCATCACAAGGTCCTCACTGCATCAACCACAGGGCAGTGGCAGAGACAGGAGCCTTAGTTCCAAGTTTGGGGCAATCATGTCCCGTTCCTAATCTCACCTAATGTTGTGCTTGTGTGTGGGCAATGGCACTTGTGAAGACACTGGGTGGTCCACGGGACAAAAGGATAAACAGAAAAGAGTGTGCTGTTGGGCATGGTGGCCCAGCCTATAATTTCAGCAGTGACGAGGCAGTGACGCAGCCCCCTCCCCTGAGAATAATATACTGTAGGGCTATTTGAGGGGGGTTATTTATGTACCAATGGAGGAAGTGGATGTTGAATAAAATCGGCTGGTGAAGATGGCTCCTCAGGTAACCCTGGCAACCTCTGTTTGACCCCCCAGACCACACATGATGGGAACAGAACCATCTCTCCTAATTTGTCCTCTGATATCAGTGCTGTGAAGTGCTCCTTCTCCAACAGAAATTAGTGATTTTATACACTTATATAAAAAGGACATAGGGCTGAAGTGATAGCTCAGTGCTTAAGAGCATTGGCTGTTCTAGAGATCCCGAGTTCAATCCCAAGCAACTACATGGTGGCTCACAGTCATCCTAATGGCATTGTATGCTCTCTTCTGGTCTGCAGAGGCACATGCAGAGCACTCATGTACATAAAATACATAAATCTTTATTAAAAGTAAAAAAAAGAGCTCCAGGACAGCCAGAGCTACACAGAAAAAACCATGTCTGGAAAGACAAACAAAAAAACCACCTGCAGGAAGGCCAGGGCTATACAAAGAAACCCTGTCTCAAACACCAAAACCAAAATAAAACAATGATTAATAAAATAAGGGATTAGGGTAGGGCTACAGCTGGGATAAATTGTAATAAAAAATTATATTAAAAAAAAAACCTCACAAATCCTCCGATTTGTGGCATTTAAACCATAAGCCCATATGTTTTTCTGTAAAGAGTTCATACATTGATGTTTAAATTGTTTATATACAAATTTGAATAAACACATGGAAAGGTTTCTAGAAATGTCAGAAAAGCTACACATGAACTCTCGAGGACATGACTGTCTAAAAGAGATCTGAACAAGAAGAGCATCAGTAGACACGCTAACATGGAAGTGAAGAATCATGAGGCCCCACCTTTAGACAACCACAGGCAACTAAGGAATGCCGAGGACAGTAGTGGTTTCCCAATGTGCTAACAAACACCAAGTGCTCAGCCCTGTTACAGAAATACAAGTAGTAGCACATGGATGGAGCAGGCTGCATTCATGTATTTAGGAATATATATTCATATATTTAGAGAATGAAACAAAAGGCTCTGCATTTGGTGGGGACTTAGGCTACCTGGGAAGGGTTGGAAGGAAGGAAGGAAGGAAGGAAGGAAGGAAGGAAGGAAGGAAGGAAGGAAAAAAGGGAAATGATGTAATATTTATTTTTCTTTATGGGTCAGGAGTGGTGGCACATGGCTTTAATCCCAGCATTTGGGAGGCAGGGGCAGGCAGATGTCTGTAGTTCCAGGCCAGTCTGATCTACAAAGTGAGTTTCAGGACAGCCAGGGCTACACAGAGAAACCCTGTCTTGAAAACCCAAAGCAAGCAAGCAAGCAAGCAAGCAAACCAAACCCCCAAACTCCATTTTGTTATGTATGAACGTGTTGCCTGCATAGCCGTACGTGCACCACGTGTGCCTGATGCTTTCAGAGGTCAGAAGAGAGTATCAGAGCCTCGGAAACAGAATTACCATGAGGATGCTGGGAATCCAACTTGAATCCTTTGCAAAAGAGGCAAGCACTCTTGACCCCTGAGCCATCTCTTCAGCTTGTACTAAATATATATTTATACACATACACACATATATAAATTATGTTATAGAATATATATTATAATTTAAATATATTTAATATTTTTTTTTCTTTGAAACAATGTTTTTTAATGTAAACCTGGATGTCCTGGAACTCCCAGCATAGATCAGACAGGGCTCAAACTCTGCCTTCTAAGTGCTAAGCCACTCTGCCCAGCTTTTGTAATTTATATATACACACATATAATGTATATTGTGTTATATATAACATTAAAACACAGGGTTTCTCTGTGTAGCCCTGGCTATCCTGGAACTATGT